TTTTTTTTTTTTTTTTCTTGTTTTGAGACAGGGTTTGCTATGTAGTTCAGGCTAGTCTCTAACTCTTGATCTTCCTGCCTCAGCCTTCCAAGTGCTGGGATTATATACATGCCCTGCCATACTTGGCTTTAAGTTTTTCTAGATTGGTTCATTTCCCCTTTGGATTATATTCAGTTGTTCTTTGTTTTGTGAGTTCTTTCATATCTTTCATAATTTTCAGTTAGAAGTTTAAGCCAGGTGGACATGATGTTGCACACCTATAATCCTAGCACTCGAGAGACTGAGATTGGAGGATCACAAGTTCAACTCCAGCCTGGGCTACATAGTATATTCAAGGCCACTCTGGACTGTGTATTGAGACTCTCTCAAAAACCAGAGAAACCAAAAGGAAAAAAAAAAGTTTTGGCTATTCCTCTGTAGTATTCATGAAGTTTATTGATGATAACTTGATAGAGTCTGTTTTAAAGGAAATTTAATTTTCCTAACTGGACACTTTTAGAATGTTCTCTTTAATTTTAGAGTTCCGAAATTTCATTAGACTGTTTAAGTTTGATTCTTTTTTTATTAGTTATGTTTTGTTTTTGGTAGGACCTTTCAAGCTGAAGACTTCTATTCAGATTAATTTTTTGTCTTTTTAAAATGATTAGATTGATGCTGGACCTCTATAATTTTATGTATCCTTATTTTCTTTCTCATAATTTCTTTTTTTGCTTCTTTTTCTGGGGTATTTCCTCAGCTATATTTTCTAACTCAGACTTCAGTCATGATCCAGTGATCTTTTTTCTTTCTTTTATTATCATATTATTGTTATAGTAGGGGTACATTGTGACATTTACAAAAGCTCTTACAATATACCATAGTTGAATTCACCCCCTCCATCATTTTCCTTTTTCCCCCTCTCCCCTATTCTTGGAATAGTTTCAACAGATCTCATTTTTCTATTTTCATGCATGAGTACATAATATTTCCACCATATTTATTTACCCCTTACACTCTTTCCTTATATCCTCCCCCCCCAATGAGTGCCAACCCCTAAACAGGACCTGTTTTACCTTCCTGTTCTCTATTTTTGAAAAAAGACATTTTTTGTTTAAAATAGTTATATAGGGAGTTTGATTGTGATATTTCCATGTTTATAGTATATGCGTATTATAACCTGAATTGATTCATCCTATTTTTTTCTACTTTAGTCCCCTTCTTATGGTTATTTCAACTGATTTAAAAATTCTATATTCATTCTTGTATATTGTATATACATGAACGATATTCACCTTCTTAACTTCCTTCTTTTGCTCTCCCTCTCTAGATAGTGACCTCCCCTTAGCATGATCTGTTTTTCTTAATATTGCTTGTATTTGTAGTAGGCCTGTATTCCATGTATGAGAGAAAACATGCAGTCTTTGGCTTTTTGAACCTGGCCAACTTTACTTAAGATGATGTTCTCCATTTCCATCCATTGATCTGCAAATGACAAAATTTCATTCTTCTTTGTGGCTGAATAAAATTCCATTTATATATAAGTACCACATTTCTTAATCTGCTCATAAGTAGTAGAGCATTTTGGCTGTTTCCAAAGTTTAGCTGTTGTGAATAATGCTGCAGTAAACATGGGTGTACAGGTGCCTTTATTGTAATCTGATTTACATTCCTTTGGGTATATCTGTAGGAGTGGTGGTGTTGCATGATCCATTGATTTTTTAAAAAAAAATTTGCAATGATTTTAATGCCCTAAACTCTTGAGGGTTGTTATTTCTTAGAAAATACATTCTTTCCTCTTCCTAGAAATGTTAGAATTCATTATCAGAGATGAATTGTCTATTTGTTTTCCTTTAACCTCTTTTGATGACTTCCTTTTTTTTTCTTAATAGTGTACTTTTCCTAACACTGGTGCTCGTATCATGATGTTCATTGGTGGTCCTGCTACTCAGGGACCTGGAATGGTGGTTGGAGATGAACTGAAGACACCTATAAGATCCTGGCATGACATTGAAAAAGATAATGCCAAATATGTTAAAAAGGGAACGAAGGTAATTTTCTTATAAGTCTTTTTACCTTACTAGAACGCAGGATTTTCTTTTTCTGTTTTTTTTTTTTCCTTTTTCCTTTTTGCAATACTAAGTGATGAGCTCAGGGCCTTGAATTTGCTAGGCAAGTGGTCTACCACTTTACCTATGCCCCCTAGTCCTCAAAACAGGTTTTTTTTTTTGGTGGGATTGGGGTAAAGACTCAGGTCTTTACACTTGAAAAGTGGGCACCATACCACTTGAGCCACACCTCAAAACCATTTTGCTCTGGTTATTTTGGAGATGGCGGGGGGGGTCTCATGAACTATTTGCTTAGGCTGGCTTTGAGCCACGATCATCTGATCTCAGCCTCCCAAGTAGCTAGGATTGCAAGTGTGAACCACCAGTACCTGGCTCATTATTATATTAAAAGTAATGACATGATTTTTGTGACTGTTGATAAATACTTTTTTCCCTGCCAAACAGTTTCCTTTTTGAGCTTGTAATTTTTCTTGGTTAGAACTGCAAAAATGTTTTATTTAGATTTGCTTATGTTACTGCTTTTGGTATTGTCTTTTTTTTAGAATTTTTTTTTTTTTTTTTTT